AGATACTGGAATATCCCGACTTTTACTGATGGCTAATGTACTGCAATTAATGGCTAGTAGTCAACTCGGTAGTCAGTAAGCACAAGAGAACTCCGAAGTGACCTTTGTCTTCTTCTCTTGAAGGTCCTTCACTAGCAGAAGACACTCCAGTGAGAACAAGCAACAGGGAAAGGAAGAGAAGAAGTCCCAGAGAGTTTATTCCAGGAAGTGACCAAAGAAGATTACGCTGACATAATTCACACGAGTCAAGGAGATAATTTTGTTCTCTCTCTCTTCTCAGCTTTTATCAAAATCTGGTAAGCCAACGTTTATGTGGTGGGTGTGGCTCATTATTATTATTATCATATTCAATTAGATCTACGTCTCATACATGTAGCTAGAGTTCTTGCACTGATGTAGTCAATGCCGGGAGGGTGTGGCTAAATTTGAGCTAAATTGTCCGCCATGTTAGGTGGCAAGAATGTACATGGAGGAATGGAGAGAATGCAAAAAAAATCTGAATTAATTCTGCAGTTGACATTTCAGGTGAGAGAAAGGTAGGAGATAGTCTCGCCCCGCCCCTTCGCTACCTGCGGAGGAAGGGTCTGGTGACACTGCCATCTAAAATTTGTGCAAAGAAGAACACGTGGTTAGGCTCTACATCATGTGACAGAGGAGACCAGATCAGTCAAGATAGCTGAAACAGATGCTTTGTAGCTAAGATAAGACAAGGATAGAGTCTCTTGGACATTTCTTGCAAATTTGAGAGCAGCAACTCTTCACAGAGCGCACTAGTATTTCACTTATTATTAATGACGTTTTATTATAAACACGTGACAGTATTATTACGTCATAAGTGCGAAGGCGTCGCTGTAGTAAGCAGGACAGTAATGCTGCTCTTAAACCTTGAGAAAGAAGTCCAGGAGGCATTACAGGCTCCTTCCTTTCTTCATTTTGTCCTCACTCTTCCTTTTGTCTTAAACAGAGCTCCTCCGTCATAATGACTGTGTGTCCTACACGTGGTTCAAGCAATCTGATTGGGACGCCACTTTCTCTGGCATGAAGCACACATTTTAGATAGCAGTGTCACCAGACCCTTCCTCCGCAGGTAGCGAAGGGGCGGGGCGAGACTAGGTAGGAGAGTACATCATGCAAGAGCTCTATTGTGGATTACTGTATAAGCCTGTGAATTTGAGTGCTTTCAATTCACCTCCTAAAATATTTTAATGTACATGTATACATGAATATTTTTAATTTTTATAGAATGATAAATTACTATCAAATTATTCTAAAAGTATTGAAACACCCAGAAAAATGGCTCCAAAATCACCCTAAATTTTTATTACATTTTTGATACATATTGATGTTCTTATGCTACATGTATGTAGAAAGTTTGAGTTGATTCTGACTTCAATTTTTCAAGTTAAAACCATTTTAATAAAATGTCAAAATTTTGAAAATTACCCAAGGCTATAATAGCACATGGTTTTTTTGAAAAATGGCTCCGAAATCAACCCAAATTTTTGTTACATTTTATGATGCATGTATTTCCAGTGAAATACAACCCCTCTACGGTACATTGTTGCATATTATCTTATTTTTTTATTTAGTTTTCATGTGATTTCTTCATGTCAAGAGGTTTCAGTGAATTACCTCAAGTTACTGTTAATGGAGTGGTACTGGAACTGGAGGATGAAGTAAGAGAAAGAATAAAGAGAGAGAGAGAGTGTGTATTCTACAAAAAAACGAGATAGTTACAGTATTAGTTACTAGATTTGTCTTTTAGGATCTTCAGAATGCAATAGTTAATGAGTTCAGCATCAAACATCAGAAATACAGCAACTAGTTTATAGAGTAAGTGATACACTTGTACATGTACATTGTAACTTTCCTTGATATCTAATTATCTATTCTATATGTACATAAAATCAT